CTCAAGGGTTTAATCAATGCCCACGTCGGCAACCACAAAGTCAACCCACGCCTTGTCACCATGCTGAATATTCCCCGCATGAAAAGGGAAGTTCACTGCACTTGATCTCAGTCTCATTCCATCCACCCACCCGGATGGTGTTTGTTTACTCAAGTCGTACAGTTGAATCAGTTAAAAGTGCAAACACCGTTCTTTTCATGTGATTGCACTTGCCTGGTAATCAGTTTAACACGTAGGCTTTCGCGACCAATATTATTTAATAATAACTTTAATCGCTCTGACAGCTACAGGCTTAGTGCGGCCTGGAAGCGTATTATTAAATAATACACATTACATTTTGATTAAAGAATTACTAATCTACAACTCATTACTAATCATAACCAATGACTGATTACTAATCGATTATATAATTACAATATCCCCCCCTCCGCCTCTAATCACTGCACCTGATATGAGTTAAATGATGACGTCACCCTGCTGCTCTATATAAAACCGGGAGCAAGCGAGGGCTTTACCATTCTGGCGAATTGCCCGATGATGCTGGATGTATTTACCAGCGAAACGTCGTACTCAAACTGTAAATGTGGATTCACTCTTCAACACACCGGTGGGCTAAAGTAGTGAATTATTTGTCTTTTGTCAACGTGACACCTTTTTTTGCTGATTGGCCGTGTCGGGTAGTGGAGGGTTACGACACATTTATAAATAAACGCGATCTAACCCAAAAACCTTTATTTTGCCTGTTAATGTTGCACAAGTCTATAATTTAATTCATTACACTAGGCAATACAATTAGACACTCCCAACATGTACAATACACGTGTACAGCCTTTGCCATTCCACCTCGAGATGAAGACCTCCATATGCCACGTCAGTCATGGGGGTTGTGTGGCCATACTTCACCACGCTGGTCATTGCAGGTTGAAGGGGGAGACCCAGGACTGGTTCAGATATCGCCCACCACTCACGGTTGCTTTGGTATTAACATCGACTTTTACATCTAATGCACAGTTACAATTTACAGTTCAATGAGGTGACAACTCAAAAGGGAACAGGACGTCTCCTTTGCAAGAGTGAACCTCCTTGGTCACCAACATGGCAAAAGCTAAAAAAAAAACTCACCAAAAAATACTTATACTCCAATGAAGCATATCATAGCAAGAGCAACTTGGTGATAAACAGCTTGGTGATAAACAGGAACTGTAAGGTGGTTATTGGGTTTTTACTTTTGATTGTGCAGACCGTTATGCAAATTCAGTTATTCATATACTATTTACTAATACTATATACATACAGTAACCGTATTTCAGCACCTGGGGGACCAATCTATATCCTGCAAGGGATTTCCACAGCAATTGGGATTGCTTGTGGAACGTGTCAAGACTGCACACGACACTCGACTTCAAATTACTTGTTTCCATTATTTTCAAGTAAAGTAGTGTACGTTGGTCAACACAGTTGCTTGTGCCTCGAACACAAGTAACACAATAAGAACAGTAATTTACTGAGCAGCATTTTTCAATAATTAATCACGACTCTCAGAGAGTAGGTTGAGCCAAACTTACATGATGCCAATGCTATAACGTTGCACACACAAAAGCATTCATATCGATTGACTGGATTTCTTCATGAATTGATAATGTGAAGCTGGGTTTTTCAATTACTACTACTAAAGCACGAGTCGGGCTTCTAGTGGCGGACGCAACTGAGACCAGGAGCACATGGCGGATGATGAATTGTTGCTGTAACGTTCTTACTCGCCCCGACTGGACGTCTGTGAAAAATAACTTTATAGCTCATCGGATTCCTCCAGAAAAAGCACATATTCTGATTCACAGACACTTTTTTTTTAAACAGCACTGGGATGGCAATTCTAACCTGTGACCACAAAAACTCACCTCTTGGGCAGAAGTGAGAACCAGCTGTTGTCAAAACTGACAACTACTTTGGACCCAGCATTGCCAGATCAAATTATTTCGTTTCTGTTCGAGGTTATTTTTTTGGGAGGAAGATTTTACCCGGAGAGCTTCAGAAATTTGGTGACATCTGCGATCGGGGTGTTAGGAAATTGATTTGTCCCGACATGTGGTGCCGACCGGTGTTGCACTGAAACCCAAAACAGGATTGCTATCCTGTTGCACAGTGCTGATGATTAAGGATCTACGAGGCTTTGAGTAAATAAATGTGTCCGCCTTTTGGTCTGACCCGGTGGGGACATCTGGTAACCGCAAAAATAATGCACAACTACCCCTTAAGTGTGTTTGTGTGTGTTTTATACAGTAGTAAGAAGTATTTATACAAATATAACTGTTTTGTAACTTGCTTACTATTTTCTCTGATGTAACGTGTTTACCCGCCCATAGATGGCATCCATGAGAAAGAGCTTCATAGCTCATCGGATTCCTGCTGCAGTCTAAATAAAGTTAAATCTTGACTTAAATTAAGTTGTTGATACTGATTTGAAGGTTGTTTACAATAACATCAACCGACATTTGCGACTAATCAGCGGTGATGTCACCGCTTGTGCCAGGCTAGGTACACAAAGGCACACAGGCTGTGTATTAGTATACTACTGGAGTATGTAAACTAAACACGGAGCTTTTTAGCTCTATTTCAGAAACGAACTGGCAACAAGTGATATGTTCCACGAAGTGGCTTATCATGTGGAAATGCTTAGCAGCCAAATACTCAAAACGCATGAATCTAAATGTGCAGGCAAAAACCGGAGGACCCGGAGAAAAATCCACACGACCAGAGGGGAGAGACAGAGAGAGACACCGCAAACTCCAAATATACAGCGGGCGTCAGGGTAGGAGATTGAACCCACGACCTCCTGCATACCAGGCGAGGCAGTTAACATCTCATAGCCACAGTGGCACAAAGCACGTGCGAAGAGTGTCCATGTGTGTACGGTATCTCATGAGTGTTGTATGATGAGTGTAGTGTACACTACAGCGTGTTGTAGTGTACACTACAGCGTGTTGTAGTGTACACTACAGCGTGTTGTAGTGTACACTACAGCGTGTTGTAGTGTACACTACAGCGTGTTGTAGTGTACACTACAGCGTGTTGTAGTGTACACTACAGTGTTGTAGTTTGATGAGTGTAGTGTACACTACAGAGTGTTGTAGTATGATGAGTGTAGTGTACACTACAGAGTGTTGTAGTTTGATGAGTGTAGTGTACACTACAGGGTGTTGTAGTTTGATGAGTGTAGTGTACACTACAGCGTGTTGTAGTGTACACTACAGTGTTGTAGTATGATGAGTGTAGTGTACACTACAGAGTGTTGTAGTATGATGAGTGTAGTGTACACTACAGCGTGTTGTAGTGTACACTACAGTGTTGCAGTATGATGAGTGTAGTGTACACTACAGAGTGTTGTAGTATGATGAGTGTAGTGTACACTACAGTGTTGTAGTGTACACTACAGTGTTGTAGTGTGATGAGTGTAGTGTACACTACAGAGTGTTGTAATATGGTGAGTGTAGTGTACACTACAGCGTGTTGTAGTATGATGAGTGTAGTGTACACTGCAGTGTTGTAGTATACGCGATAGTGTACACTACGCGGTGGTGTGTGGTAAAACATATACACAGCCTCTTTCAGGAAGCAATTCACAACACATTACGTTACCACTACTGTACGAGGAGGGGAGACCCTTATATTAAGACCATTACAGTACGCACAGCTTAACAGACTGTTGGGGCAAGTGCTGTTGGTGAGCACCTGTGAAGGCCGACACGGCACACGAGGGGGTGGGTGGCCAGCACCACGCCCGACCGCCTTTGTCTCCCCAGTGGCAATGTTTACACACCGCACCAGGTACACATTTTGAGGCTGAGTCGACCTAGGGGAGGCCCAGGACCGGCTCAAGATAATCGTCACCGCTGTTCGCCGTGAGCGGGAATCGAATCCGGATCGCCGGGTTCGTAGCGTAGCGCTAACCGCTGCACCACCGCTCCCACTACGTGACACAGACACACGTTATGGACGTCTCTGTATAACGTCCTTTTACATGCAGCACCACAGGACACAGCACCACAGGACACAGCAGTACCACCACCACCACAGAACACAGCAGCAGCACAGAACACAGCAGCACCAGCACCACAGAACACAACACCACAGGACACAGCAGCACCAGCACCACAGAACACAACACCACAGGACACAGCAGTACCACCACCACAGAACACAGCAGCACCACCATCACAGGACACAGCAGCACAGGACACAGCACCAGCACAGAACACAGCAGCACAGGACACAGCAGTACTACCACCACAGGACACAGCACCAGCACAGGACACAGCACCACAGGACACAACAGTACCACCACCACCACAGAACACAGCACCAACACAGAACACAGCACCACAGGACACAGCAGCACCACCACCACAGGACACAGCAGCACAGGACACAGCACCAACACAGAACACAGTACCACAGAACACAGCAGCACAGAACACAGTACCAGTGTAAAACAAAGACCCCCCCCCCCCCCCATAGCCTTTGACAGACTGTTGGGGCAAGTTGCCTTCAGCGAGTGAAGGGTTGTGTCGACTACACACCGCACCAGGTACACATTTGAGGCTGAGTCGACCTGCGAGAGGGCCCATGACCGGTTCAGAGATATTCGTCACTGGGTGCTGGCCGTGAGCTGGAATCGAACTCGGTACGCCGGGTTGGGTAGCAGCAGCGTAGCGCTAACCGCTGCACCACCGCTCCCCTACAACACAAAGCTCCCCCGTGTAGCCTCGTTGGGGCAAGTGCTGTTAGCGAGCTGCACCTAGGAAGGCTACCGGCACTGTGGCACAACGAGGAGGGGGGTGGGTGGCCAGCATCACGCCCGGCCGCCTTCGTCTCCCCAGTGGCGATGTTTACACGCCGCACACCTACAACACACAAGACGCACGTGTGTGTGTGTACGTGTGTGTGTGTACGTGTGTGTGTGTGCGCGTGTGTCCACCAACAAGCCGGCGTCGCGGACTGACCCAGCACAGAAAGGCGTACGTGACCAGCATGAGCTTGACGGCAAAGTAGGAACACCATCGTGACCTTCCAGCGTCGCGCGACTCGGCCATGTCAGCATCACCACCCACCCCCCGCCGCCGCCGCCGCTAGCACCACCACCACCACCTCCCTTGCATGCACACTTACGGCTGTCACGGCACTCAAAGCTTCCCCCACCTCCTCCCTCCCTCCCTCCTCCCCTGCAGGCCGAGTCAATCGCGCGTGAGCGAGAGCGCAGCGACTTCCTGCAACAAACGCGAAGGGATTGTGGCAGCGATGAGTTGTTTCACGTCACCCCGGGGGGGACTCCCAAACTCACAAAGTCGTGAGCGATACCCACCCCCAGCGATGCAAGGAAACTCATGGCTTTGATGATTTTTGCCAGTAGTGTGATAAATGACGCTGGTACTTCTCTAAGATGGGGAAATCTCATTTGCAGGAGTATGGTTAATGGTACCACGGCTAATGTATAATATATGACAGTTGTTCTGTAAAGAGGAACCATGTTCATTTATACTATTTGGTTCTTGCGGTTAAGTCACGTAGGTATTTTATTTCATTTTCTACCTGCGTGACTTTACCGAAAGAACCAAAGAGTACGGATACCTGCAGTCACGAAAGCTTCAAATAAAAATGTAAATTTACCCACGACTCACACAATGTCATGTCCTCTTGCCGGCCCAGCAGTGCATTACTACGGTATATTATTCCCATTCTTGAAGAGCAACGGGAAGCATCAACAGGCCACCATGGGTGATACTCATTCTCATTGGTAGTGTTTTTGTGTGTAGAGTCCTCGTTCCTATGGCAGGGACCAAGTTTGTCTGCTGCTGTATTCCCACCAAAGGGCAAATATACCACTGGGCCTACCTGGGTGGTGCCTGCACTGTTAGAGGTCAACTCGAGCTACTGGCATCAATGCCAGCCCCTGACTGAAAACCGCTTGCCATATATTTACAAACACATTGGTTATTTCGGTAAAGTCACGTAGGTAGAAGAAAAATCATAGATCACGACGTTTCGATCGCCACACAAGCAACCGTCTTCAGGTGGGAGTGAGAAACAGGCTGCTGAAACAAGCCCTTATATATAAAATTAAGGAAAACAGTTAACTTTATCTTTAATGACAATTGTTTATCCCATATAGTAAAAAAAACTACCCAACTATAATCGAGGGTTTTTTGGTTAAATCGCGTAAATATAAATGTGCCGTTAAACCCGCCACCACACGACGCAGCCAATGTGTAAGGTTTGCCACGTAAACAACAACAACAACAATTGGTTACTAGCAGAGCAGGCTCGGTGTGTTGGAGAGTAAACTCTCATCAGGCGTTGTGGAGGGTGGTGGCGGGTTTCACGACATCTATATTTACGCGATCTAACCCAAAACCCTCTATTACGAATAATTAAGGGGCCGTCCATAAATGACGTCACGCTATTTTGGCCGATTGTTGACTCCCCTCCCCCCCTCGTCACACGGCGTCACAAAAAGTCAGACCCCCCTCACATATGACGTCACAAAGCTCTGCCCCCCCTCCCCTCCCAAAACCATATTTCCATTTTTGAAAATAAAACATGCTTCAAATCGCTTTAAACTATTGTCATTGTAGTGCGTATTTAATGTGGCGCTGCACTCTGATGTTGTAGGAGAAAACATTTATTAAAAAGGAGGCGTTGGAAAGCTGAAATTTAGCATAAAATTCACTTGAAAATATTAAACGTCTAACCAAAACTGCAGATATTCAGAATATTATATTGAAATTATCTTATAATTATAAAATATTAAAAGCAATTATGACTATTAAAAAAATACTTTAAATTTTGTAGTAGAGCGAAGCAAAATGGAGAGTACAATTATAACAATGACATATTCATTCCACAGAATGAAAAGCCCTGGTAGAATCATGAAAATCAAAATATTGAATAACAATCATTAAAAAAATGTATGCTTCTCCATTCTCCCATGGAGAAGCAAAATGCCCCTTCATGGAATAAAAAAAAAGGTGACCTTAGTAAATTTAAATAATAAAATAGTTAATAATGAAAATGTATAAAAATTTGTGTTGTAACAATTCTATTGTTTACATGTATTTAGAGTTGCGCATTTTGATGTGACGTCACATTTATGAAACCCCCTCCTCCCCCCCTCGTCACACACCGTCACACACCGTCACACATCGCCACAAATGTCTGACCCCCCTCCCCCCCCTAGGTGTGTGACGTCATTTATGGACGGCCCCTAATACCACTACAGAATGAATAAGACAAACCCAGCACATTCATCAACAATATAGCCCTACAATGAAAACGATATATAGACTAGGTGGCATGTCAGGCAATGGCCCTTTTATTAGCAATCGATCTCTGCTGAAGGGTAATTGCCTATAACATACTTGTTATTTTTAGGGCAGTGCTAATGACGAATATTATTTGTTTGTGCTTGTACGCCGCTGCCAACAACATCATCATGTTAAACAACATCGCATTCATAGTTCTTTTTTACTCAAACCTGCAGGTGAGATCATTTTCAACATCACTTGAGCAGGTAATGTATTACTCATCTGCTGTGTGTCAGTTTAAGTGACACTGCAGTACATACGCTCACGCCTAACAAGCACCAGTGAGTCAATGGAACTGAGTCAACAGGACATTCTAGTTTTAGGAACCGGTCTCTCGAGACACGTCTTTCCACCACCTGACTTCCCTTCGTGCAAAGTAGTTTTTAGAACTGCTTTTTGTGTTTAGTTTATTTCCCCCCCCCCCTCCGCACCTCAGATTAGCACGGTTGGCCACGTACAGTGCTAAAGGAGATTAATTAACATCACATACATATTCTTAGTTTTTTCGGTAAAGTCACGTTGAAGAGAAACAACAAAATAATAAAATATATATAACAATAAAATATATAATAAATATATATTTTATTATTTTGTTGTTTCTTTTCAACGTGACTTTACCGAAAAAACTAAGAATATGAATTACTGCAGTCACGAAAGCTTTAAATCAATTCACATACATAGTTGCAGATCGGACGGTAGCCAATTTAACAATCCTGGAGGATGGCTAGTTTGGTTGAGCTGAATCAACCAATTCGGATATGAACCATAGGCGTTTGACTTCTATATTTGGGGGAGAGGTCAGGGGTTTACAGGAATCACGGGTGCATATAATTCATGTTTTTTTTTTAAACTAAATTGTAAGCTACATAAAATAAATAAATAAAGGTGACAATTTTAACGGGGACATTCCCGCCCCTCCCTGTGCCCCCCCCTCCCCCGCAAACTCATGATATTAACTATTTAATCTGAACGTATAGAGCCCACTGATCAAAGTGACAGTTATTTCCCGAAACGTTTAATTGTTGTAATGGCCCGCCTAAATAATGGGGGTGAGTGTCTGCTTTGTTTTTGCTTCTGCTTGAACGTCAGGGTGACACTCTGACGGAATGGGGCGCTTGGCTACGGACACCGCCACATCATTGCCTTAACATCCACGTTGTTTTTTTTTATTTTGCAACAGTAATTGTATTTTGATAGGCAGTTCTTCCCATCATGAATTATATTATCATTATTGTGCCATTACATTTTTTGTTGCTCTGAGATACATTTACGAAACACTTCAGTTGCATCTCGGGTCTCCTTTTGAAAAGTAATTCGTCTCAATGAGCCCTCACTTATTACGTATAAACAAACGTTCGTGTTTAAATGTATTACAGCAGACAACACATGTGCATCAAATGAAATTAATTCAGTGATGGGCGCTCAGCTCAAGCCATTATCTTCCCACTGTCTACGGTTGTCCCATATTGAAATCCCTGGAGACTTATAGATCCAATAATATTATTTCTGTTACGTGCAACATCCTGGATAACCACTAATTGCACGGTTTTTTTTTGTATTGCTGTTTAGTAATATCAATGAAATATCAGTTACGATAAGAAAAAAAAACTGTTGCAGGATATAGAGGAAATAATTTCTATCAGTTATGAGAGTGGCGTGAGAAATGTTGGTTCTGGTGTGAGATGTTCTGGTGTGAGATGTTCTGGTGTGAGATGTTCTGGTGTGAGATGTTCTGGTGTGAGATGTTCTGGTGTGAGATGTTCTGGTCCTCAGTCAAGATGCCATGTTGCCGCCAAACCTCACACGCACCGCACGCCTGCGTGCGCTACAACAACAACAACAAAAAATATGACCATAGATAGTCATCATGTACTTATACAATAAACATGCATTTCGTATATCCACATAGAATCATATATTTTTCGTCTATCAGTACATGCGCATTTCCAGCCAATGAAAATGTACACTGTTACTTTTAGCATTCACCCAGGGTGGTTTTTTTGTCATGAATATCTGGCAACCCAGTTGTGTTTGTTTAATGAGTCTGACCGCTGATGATATTTAACAGGTCTAATATCGCCCGGGGTTTACTTGCTTCACGGTCTGGAAAACCCACAGGCTGTTGGACTAAATCATGTTTCGTCTTACGTGAAGAGATGAACGAAGGTTTATTTATACAACACCAGGGTAGCAGTGCTATCGTGTTCTCGCTCTTCAACCTTGAGAGTTTCGCGATGATTACTCTGGCTGTTTTACCTCTGAGTAGTTCAATATGGTCGTAGTATACTCCGATGGATGAATCAGGTAGCTTTGTGAAACATAAACAAAATAAAATCAATGCATTCATTAATAGCAATGACTTAAAAGGAAAATTATACAATAGGTGACGTTTTGGGCAATGGCCGTTCTTCATATCACGTGGTCTCTCTATTTGTGTTCCATGAAGAAGGGCAATTTCCCAAAACGTCGCTAATTATATACCTTTCCTTTTAAGGCACACCGTTTCATTGAAGAATGTGCTTGTTGCAGCACTGCCAATGCAGTATCACCAAATAATGAGCAATTACATGTCGCAAAATCCATTGTTGTAACGAGATCCCTGGATGAATTGCACATTATAAATGTCAATAATTTTTATTGCATTGCCCCCATGTCTACACTCCTGGCCTTCAACACAGCGACACGAACCCGCGCCCGCGCGGTGCAGGATGGTCGATGAAAGCTCACGCATCGTGCGGTGTGGGGAAGCCTTCATCCAGCAGCGGAGTGTAAAAGCAG